CGCGAAGGGGGCGGGGACCACACCGCCGGTGGCGTGATAGTGGAGCGAGAGCGAGGGGCGGAGCGCGATGAGAGGCGGCCCCTTGGCCCCGCCCACCAGAGGACCACGCCCCTGTGCTTCAGGCCCCGCCCACTCCGCCGAGCAGCTCTGGTGCTTACCTTGCCTTGCCATATCTTGCCTTGCCCTGCCTCGCCAGCCCTGGCACACTCTGCCCTCACATCCTTTGCCACAGAGAGACGTTTCGCAGCCAAACAGAAATGCCACTGGGTCACTTTTTCCTGGTGCTGCCATAGTGGAGAGGTCTGGGTGTGCAGCGGCCACAGGGCTGGCATCACAGCTGGGGCAGGAGATGGACTCACTGGCCCCCCACGACTCCGCAGGAAATGGGGCTGCTCCCCTGGCACCCTAACATGCTGCTGAGCCCGTGGCTGTGTAGTCCCCTGTGCCAGGTGCCCAGGCACAGACCCAGGGGCTCAAGTCAGCAGGAGCCGCAGTGCCCGTGGGGCAGATGTGTCCCTGCCCAGCTCAGTGCTCCTGGGTTGCTAAGGCAGGGCTGGAAGAGGCTGCGACACACCCTGAACAGGCAGAGGGCATCTGTGGGCAGACGCAGGCAGGTACCAATTACAGGCACTAACAGAGCCTGTCCTCGTTCCCAGCGCTGCTGTGGGCTACATGTGCAGCCAGGACGTGACTTCGCCTGTCACAGCCAGCAGGACCACGTGCAGGGACACCAGCCAACCCCTCCACAGAGCACAGCCCCCTATCCCTGCCCTGCCCTCCCCTCTCCCACACTCACTGTCCTGCCTCTGTCCCTGCCCATGGGCACCTCCTGATGTGGATGCTGAGCCTCACAGCACCCACCCTGTCATCCAAGGAGATGGACAACTGGTGTGGGTCAATCAGCAGGTCTCCTGAGCATCCTTCCTCCACCTCTTACAGTGCTACCTGTGTGCACTCCCCCAAGCTCCCCCACACAGCATTTTGGGGCACACGGTGCAGCCTCAGAGCCCCCTGGTACGTGAGTACCAGCCGGGCTCCCAGGAGTGCCCGTGGAAGAGGTGAGATAGCTTCTGAAGTGCCACAAAGAAACCATGCAAACAGATTCATGTAGCAAGTGTCTCTTCAGCGGGTTTGCCCCTATATAGGTGCATCTACTGAATATATACATGCCTTAGCAATAGTATACTGGAAACTGTGCCACGCGTGACTTGATGGTGCTGAACTAATGTGTACAAAAGTATGGAGGGGTCCGTGTACCCTCTAAGTACAAAGTTCCTTCTGTCCAGCCACAGGAGGATTTGATTTTGGAGCACTACAGGTAACCTGTTGGGGCTCCAGAGGGGCACACAGCTTTGGCACCTGCCCGGTTTGCTCATGGAGCTGCTGGATCTGGGAGGATAGACCAGCGCCAGACTGCTGCAGGATGCTCAAGGTGGCAGAGTCCAACCCAGGTGCTTCAGCCAAGCTACAGTCCCTGGGCTGAGGGCCAGGGCCAGCCAGGGTGCCCACTGCTCCTTGCCCACAGGCTGTTGCAGGCCTGGGCGTGGGGCAGTAGCTGATGAAAGCTCTGTTATGTGCATTTCTCTCATGGCAGGTGGTGATGTGGGTTAACCCTGGGAGAGGAGGACCTGAAGATTTCCCCTTGGAGGTGAGAGGTACTAACATCTCGCCGCTGGCTACTGTGCCACACCCACGGGGCATCCAAAATGCATTTTGTGGGCAGTTGAGCAGCTCTGAAGTGGCTGTGGTCAGAGGTCCTCTCGGTGCGTCTCTCCCTGGGTCTGGTATGTCTGCTCCTCCCCAACCAACACAGAGGAGCCACGGCTTAGCATGCTGCCCACTCCAGCAGCTGAGTGAGGAGCTGGGGGTGCTGTTGGGCTTCTCCCTGTGCAACTGGGGTCTGGCTCACAGGGACGGGGCTTCCTGCCCCTCCATGCGGTCTGTCCAAAGCCCAAAATGTCTGGAGTATTTTTGTTTTCACCCTGTACTTGCACAGCCCACTGTGAGCTAGTGGCAACTCCAGGCTCCTTCTCAAGTAGGTAGTGGCTGCTGGATGGTCCCTGCTCCAGCAGGCAGGTACTCACACGCATCCCTTCCCCAAGCGCCTGGGCCAGGAGTTTCCTCATGAAGAAAGTTCTGCTGACGTTTCTCCTCTCCGACCGAGAGTGTGAGATGTCACTCTGTCCCGGCCATCGTCACCAAGAAGATGCTGCATCAATAAATAACCCTTGTCCCAGCCCCCGTCGCTCCCGGGCTCGGGTCAGCATGCGAGCGGGAGGTCCGAGTCATCCCACACCATGGCTCTCCTTGTTGCCTTTGGGGTTTTCCTCGGAGTCTTCACTGTACAATGAGAACATGACCAGCTGCCCGGGTTGTATTGCTAAAGTCCGAGTGAAGTGGCTTCGGTTTGCGTATGGGGCTCCTCGGGGATGGGGAAGGATGGGGATCGGGCTGAGGGGGAGCCACAGAGATCATTCTTCACTGGCTGACTCCTGGAGAAGACGGTGGATGTCCTGGAAGGAGGGACGATCTTTAGTGTCCCGTCTCCAGCAGCTGAGCATTAGCTTATACACTGAGTCAGGGCACAGTGCAGGCTGGGGAAGGTAGGTCTTCAAAACAAAAACCAAAGATGACAAAGAGTGAAAGTTATTGACACAGAAACCAAAAAACAAACTGCTCCTGGGGAGCCCTGGGGTGGGGGGCTGCGCTGCTATGTGTTCTGGGGCAAGAGGATCCCTGACTGCACAGTGGCGAGGCTGGGGACACCTGCCCACATCTCCCAGTCTGGGACCCATCTCTGGGTCTGCCCTTTGCCAGAACTGCTTTCCAGAGGACTTCCCACCCCATAACTCACCCATAGCCAAGCTCCCTTTCTGGTCACCTCAAAGTCTTTCCCCGGGGTCCCCAGTGCATCGCTGCCTGTCCCACCCCATCCCATCCCTACCTGCCGGCCCTGGTCCCGGAAAAACTCGCCAGTGTTTTCGATGACCTGCTCATCAGACATCTGGGAGTAGGGCTGCTCCTGGCAGAGCGTGAAGGTCTCCCACAGCGTCACGCCAAACGCCCACACGTCGCTGGCTGTTGTGAACTTGCCCTGGCCAGAGGGAGCAGAGCGGGGTTGGGCATGGGCATTACACCATCCTGCTCCATAAGCCCAACATGCCCGAGGTTCAGAACCTCTTTCTGGATGCTTCAGCTTCCAGATCTGGGCCCAGTGTGGGATCAATCCTGCAGACCTGCTCTCTGCCTGGGGCCAGAGCCTGGTGAGCTCTGGGTCTGGCTTGCAGGGACTGCTCTGAGAGGTGGGGCTTGGTAAGGACCCAGCTCCCTGCACAGATAAAAACTAACCCTGCTCCCTCTTCCAGGTCTGACCACAGCCAGGAGAGGATGCCAAGCATTCCACTCAAAGGTTGGACACCAGGACACCAAAGATCACCACAGTTCCCACATCCTGCCTCAAAAAGCTGCTACCACTCCTGCTTTCTGCATGCTTCACCCCAAAGCTGGGCTCCAGGGAGGATGGACTTCTCCATCCCTTCTGCACTCCCAGCCCGAGGAAAAGAGGCTGTGAGCAGCCCCAGGGCCATGTTGGTGTTCATCAGGACCCCAGCCTCGACGTACCAGCAGGATGCTCTCCCAGGACATCCAGCGGATGGGAAGCACTGCTCGGCCCTGGATGCGGTAGTAGTCCCCGCTGTAGAGATTCCTGCTCATGCCGAAGTCAGCAATCTTGATGGTGTACTGCTTCCCCACCAGGCAGTTGCGTGTGGCCAGGTCTCGGTGCACGAAGTTGAGGGAGGAGAGGTACTTCATGCCAGAGGCAATCTGGGTGGCCATGAACCGCAGGTCGCTGTAGCTGCCGGGGTGAAGGACAAGGGAGGATTGAGGCACCAGACAGGATGGCAGTGGAGGGTGGGTATGGCCCAAACAGAGCACCCCACAGCTGCCCGCCTGCCCATCCTTGGCAGTGGTACCTGATGGTGGGCTCCTGGCCAGCAGAGGGGCTGCCTGCCTGCTGGCGGGACAGGAACTGGTTAAGGTCTCCGTTCTCCATGTACTCGGTGATCATGCACAGCGGGTCGTCCGTGATGCACACCGCCAGCAGCCGGATGATGTTGGGGTCCTTCAGCCGTGACATGATCTTGATTTCCTTCAGAAAATCATTCCTTTCCGGAACAGAAACCACACGGATCGGATAGACAGACCCAGAGGGGCATGGAGGTGCGCACAGACCAGCTGAGCGTGCCACCCGCCCACCTGAGCCTCACGGGGACCCATGGGTCCCCTCCGCTGGGACTGAGGGTCATGAGGGAGAGCTCGGGGCTGATACAGGCATGGCTGTAAGGTGGACTCAGCAGCTAGATGGGTTGCTGGGAAGCAGGTTAGGACCAGCAAGGACCAAGAGTCCTGAACCACAGCAGTCCAGAATCCCCAGACAGCTCAGACGTGAGTGGTCCTTGCAGCTGCACCGAGCACCTGGCTGCTGGAGGCAGGGGACACTTTCCAAGTGTCCCAGCCCTTCTGAGGGAAATCCACACGGGTTGTGGGGGAGAGAAATGCCAGGGGGTGCACCCCCAACTCCATACCTGGCATTCTTGTTGGCATCCGCACGCAGCATCTTCACAGCCACCAGCACAGGGTGGTTGGAGCTGGCGTCCAAGCACTCCAGGGAAAAGTCCTTGCCTGTGAACTTCTCCATCCCCTCCACTTCGCAGAGGTGAACCTGCATGGGGGAAACAGGCAGCCGTTATCTCCGCTGACCAAAAGCTTCCCCCAGCCCCCATGAACCAGACAGAGCCTTTCCTCGGTCCTGCTCAGGGCAGGTCCAGCTCTCACTCACCTCCCCAAACTGGCCTTCCCCCAGCTTCTCCTTGAAGGTCAGCAGCTTCCTAGGGAACTCCTCGACGGCCACATCCTTGCCGGAGAGCAGGTCCATGGTGACAGCTGGCACCGAGTATGTGTTGCCGCCCGTCACACCTTGCAGGTTCACGATGTCAGCCTCAGCGTAGTGGGGGACACCCTCAGGGACACTGGCCTGGGATGGCTTCACGGGACCACTGCAGCCTGGGGGTGACAGCAGGGCCAGCCCTGCTGTGGGTGTCCTCCTCCACACCCTCCGTTCCCCAGTACCCACTTGCGCTCCAGTCACCGGCTTCTCTGTCCCCATCGTCCCCAGAGACCCCCACACTGCCCCGGCACAGCTGGACTCCTGCAGACACTGAGATCTCATGCAACATCACTGCCCTCACCACCCCTCTGTGCCAAAATGCTTGGAGCTTGGCCAAAAGCGGGGCCTGGGGCTGCGTTGGGCTCAGTGCGTAGCGGCTGGCTCTGAGCACTTGGAGTGTCCTGGTTCTCACCTGCGTCCTCCTCCCCTGGAGTGAACTCGGGCAGCTTGCGGATCAGGCGGGAGGGCTCCTGGTAATCGGGGCCCAGGGGGAATATGCGGTCATAGGTGGAGCTGGACTCCTGCTCGCTGGAGGATGAGGAGCGGTTGTGGTTGAACATGCTGGATTCGCTAGGCAGGGAGAGGCTGACAGTCATTTCATCATCCAGCATCCGTCGTGATGCCTGTGAGAGCAGAGCGAGGAAGGAGAGAGGTGGGATGGGGGCTCTCTGCAGCACTGGCGGGATGGGGTCTTCTGTGCTTCATGGCACTGTGGCCATGCCTAGCCCTGAGCACCCCTCTCTAGTGCCCTGTCCCACGGCTGCAGCACCCACCTAGGGATGCCATTTGTCCTCATGTCCCCCCCTTTTATTGTCTGCCTCTATGGAAAGGAACTTTACTCCATCACCTCTGCAACTGCCCTCAGTTAGCTGAGACCCACCTCGAGCTCCTCTCCCTCAGCCCAGCTTCAGAATGAAGGGATGGACAAGTAGGCAGGTCCCAAAGTCACCACTCTGCTCAGCTAGATCCCCTGGCCTGGGAGATGGGTGCAATTCACAACCTTCCCGAGAAGGGGAAGGGATCATCAGCCCCTGCACAGACTCTGCTTTCCCTGTGCTGAGCTCCCAGGAGAACCTGCCCAGGATGAGCCCACCATGCTGAGGCACCTCACCAGCCACTGCATCCTTGCCCACCTTCTCCAGCATCTTCTGCCAGAACTGCCGCCACAGTATGATGACAATGATGGCCACCAGGATGAAGATGATCGCCACCAGGCACCCGATCAGGATGCGCGTGTTGCTGTCATCTACCTTGAGCGTGGGGTCTGGCAGGAGGAGGGGACAGCAAGAGCTGGTCACTCTGGGGTGCAGGGGGAGCCCTGCCCCTTTCCTCCATTGGATGGGGCAGAGACCCCCCATAGCATCTCCCCACCCAGCTCAGGGCGACATACTTTTTGATGCTTACCATAAGTGGTGGGAACCACAGGCACATCAAGGGGGGCCATCGAGTTGTTGTACATGGCTGCATCTAGCAAGGAAGAAGAGGAGAGCAACAGAGTGGGGGGAATAGGTGCCCCACGGCCCCACTCCCTCCTTGAAACCCATCCCCAGGAGGGTCCGGTTCCCATGGGGCTCCTGGAGGCAAGTACCTGACTGGAAGGTGATCTCACTGAACATCATCCAGGCATCAGCAAAGTAGTACTGGCACTTGATGGCACTGGCCATGCGGTGAAGCAGGGGCACGGTGACAAAGCGGGCACTGGGGTTCACGTCGTCAAGCACCAGCACTGAGGAGACAGCACTGGGCTCCCATTCGCTGGTGTCAGCACGGAAATAGCACTGCACCTCCTTGAAGATCTTCACCCCTTTGGCGAACATGTTGTTGCAGTGAACCTGTGGGTCAGCCCGTCAGCACGGCCATGGCAGGGGCCAGGGATGGGGGTTGGGGTGGAGGGGGCACAGACCTTCATGGCAGTGAAGTTCCTGATGCGGTCGAACTCGAAGGTGATCTCCACGTAGCCGCCGGCAGTGCTCTCGTTGCGCCAGCCCACGTAGTCGTACCCCGGCCAGACGTGGTACTCATGGGTCTGCGTGAAGTCGTCCAGCCCCGATACCCCGTCCGTCAGCTGGCCCAGGCCCTCCGTCATGCTGGCACACATTAGTGGGGGAAGAGACTGTGACTTTTGCCAATCCCACAAACCTGACACCACCCAGAGCCCCCTGGCAGATCCTTGCACCCCCTGGGAAATTCAGGAGGGGGCTTTGTTCCTCTTGATGTTCTCTCTGGAAAAGGCAGCGGGGTGCTGAACGCACAGTGTGGTTAGCATAAATCCAAGAGAAGGGCTGGGGGTGCTTTCCCCATCACGCTCTCCCCACCACCATGTGCAGCCTCCCAGAGCTGGCCGCGTCCCCTGCTTCAGGAAGACCCCGAGTATTCGCTGAGCTGAGGATCAGCACATCAGCCTGCAAATGCAGGGAAGAACACTCCCATCCCCTCCTGCCCGGCACAATGCCCACCACGTGCACAAGCCTGCCCAGTCCTCACCTGTACCCAAACGCCCCATCATACACCGAGTCATTCAGGTAGATGACAGTGCCCCCGGGAAGGACAAGCTGCTGCCCAGCCGGCGCGTTGTAGGACACCAGCCCATCTGTGGGGAAGGGAGATTGAGCGGCCACCCATGTCGGACACTCTGCTGCTGGCTGCCAGCCCTCAGTGGGGTGGACAGCCCCTGAGCTGGGCTCTGGGGGTATGGGGAAGGACACAGGACCACACCACCCACCCAGCCAGACACAGCCGTACAGCTCCACACGCAGGCAGACGTTCATGGAGTGGTCAGTGACGGGGATGAAGCGGACAAAGCGGGCGATAAGGGGCGGCTCCAGGTCCTTGAGGACGATGTCGTAGGGGTTGGTGTTTCCATCCAGCACCTGGGGAGAGAGAAGCGCGGTGGGGATGGGCAGATGCAGCCCCCCCACCCACCACCCTGTGCAGTCCCCACCTGCCTCCTCACCTGCTTCCCATGCCGGTTCCTCCAGGAGATCCACCGGGTCCCGTCCCGGCTGTAGTTGATCTTATACATGGGTGCAAACTCATTGCCGTGGCCCCCAGCATGGCGGCCCTGGGTGCCCACCAGCGTGATGAAGTGGAGTGCGTGCAGATCAATCTCCAGGAACTCCTTCAGGTCGTCAGGCTCCACCGGGATCTCAGGGCACCAAGCACCATCGCCATCCTCTGAGTCCAGCCTGCAAACCCGGAGCAGAGGAGCTGTTCACAGCCAGACAAAGCTGACCCTCTCCACCTCTTCTGTCCCTCCACGGCAGCCCAGACCCTGCTGT